ATATATATATATATATATATTAACCAATAATAAATAAAGAAAATATTACATATAAAAATACATTTATATTATATATTCGTATTATGAAAATAAAAGAATATTATTATTATTTTTCTCTATATAAAAAAATTACACGCAATGCAAATATTTTAAAAAACATTGGTTAACAAAATAATTCATTTATTATTATCATTGTAAACGTTACACCATATTACGCAAGAATAGATAAACAAATAGAACCGTAATTTCCAAAGAGTGTGTTTAACTTTAAAAAGATCTATTATAAAATAATAATTACGTACGTGAACATCCACGACTATTCATTTTTAATCGTTAAAACAAACTTTTCTTCTTAACGATACGTCAGACACACGTTCGTTACACCTGTTTTTCGTTGAAATTAACCGAGTAGCACAAAAAACAAAAAGAATAATACCTTCTCGAAACAAACTCGCGTTTGAAACAACATTAACTAAAAAAAAAACGAATTCAAACGATATCATAAAAAAAAAAATACAATGATACGAGACCAACAATATCTCGGTTTAGTTTTATTATCCAAATTCATAAAAAATGGTTAAAAAAAAAAAAGGGTACGATTAATCTTTCTCAAGGGTAACAATTAACTCACAATACAATCCTATGGTATATACAATATGCAACTATGAAACTATGTTACTTCAGTACAAGTAACTTTATCAATTGACGTAATCAAAAAAACATAGTAATGATCCTAAGATACAAAATAATTCGACGAAAAAACAAAATAAAAATAAATAAAAAAAAATGTGAGAATGAGAAAAAGGGATAGCCGTGTTGCAACAATATTTCAGTAAAGTTTTACTTGCCAGTACGGGTCAACGATTTAGTAAAAGTCTTGTCACGAAGACGTTGATAGATCGTTTGGCGTCGATCTTCGTTCTATGAAACACGCTCAGCTCTTGGATCAATAACGAAAACTTGTATAACAAAAACAAAACAAAAAATAACCAACCAACCAGAAGCAAAACACCATTGGAGAAAACAGTTTCCTATTTACTGCACACCTTTCATTATTTCTATCTCTCTCTTACTAACTATTTTTCTTATGCAGATTTAACAGTTTTTACAAAATAGAATAAAAAATAAATAAAAAAATAAAAAAAACGAGACCCACATTACGTCATCCTTCGTAATTTCTTTCTCTCTCTCTCTCTCTCTCTCTCTCTCTCAGACACACGTTTTCTCTCAACATTTTCAACGAGTTCTCTCGTTGACAATAACGTCGAATAATTAATTAAGATTTTTTGTTGTTTTTTTTTTTTTTTTTTTATCCCACACATAGAGAAGTTTCTTTCTCTAAGCGAGTGAAATGGAGTGAGGGTGGGTTGACCTTTAACCACGTGAACGCAAGCTCGGACCAAACCGAATAACCGACCAACCGGGGCTGATTAAAATTCGAGCGAATCTGGCTCGTTCCGTTCACCCCTTCCAGTCACCCTCACCTCCTCCTCCTACTACTACTCTGTACTCCCCCTTTCCACCTCATACAAGAGTATGCGTAAGAGTGAGAGGGATAGAAAATATACGAGAGAAGAATATGTAATTGAAACAGTGTGGTGGAAAGAACTATATAATATCCTCCTATCTATTCTTTTTTACCCCTTTTTCCAAATATTTTATCACCCCCTTCCCACCCCCCTACCTGTTCTTCCTCCCCACATTGTCGACTATTCCTATGCATATTTTCTTTCTTATCCGTGTACGTATCTTCTATGTATATATATGTATTACTTACGTGTGTACATATTCATTCATTTATTTCTATACGGATCTTTGAGTTAAAATCTGTCGAATATATATAT